AGAAAGGAACTTGCAGAAACAGCAGCTGCAAGACATGTAGCATCGTTCAAAAAAGTGCTCCCACCATGACATGGGTCCACCCACGAAACCACATTTGAAACTAAAGTGTAGCTGGAGTATTGCCTAAGACAACATGGACAATAGTCACCACATTACGTTTACGCAAGATAATTGATGCTAGAGCATCTGTAAACCGCTTCCTTCTGAATGAGCTTTCAAATGAATCAGCGAATCAGGAGGCTAACCGACTGACCAAGGACAAAGCAAAGCAAGGCTCGAACGATCTACAGACCCACCTGTCTGAACTGCTAGGGTTTTCAGGCACAGTGGTAAACCTCTTCTGTGATGTGGATTGCTACCAGTATGGCAGTGTCAATGTGATATGAGAAAGTGAAAGAGCTGTCCGATTCTTGAATGCACTTCGGCACCCCCACCTCCATTTTGTGATGTTGTTCGAACCTAAGGGCACCGGACTTGCTGCGGATCCAACGCTTTCTCCCACTGCGCCGTTATTGCTCAAATTACAAAGCATTTCTAGTGGCCCTATCGAAATGGGTGTCCCCCAAGAGGCCCGTCGCGCGGCGAAGGAAGAGACGCAGATGCGGCAAAGAGTCGCAGCGCGTGCTGTGCGATATGAGACGTAGTATGGTACACTCTATTTAACCTGACGCCTAACCGCTACAGTATGCGCTGCGACCGCGCGTCGTACCTCTTGGGGGACACCCCTTCGAAAAGATGCACCAGAATTCCTTGTGAACCAATGGTTTTTAAAATGTTTACTGAGTAGTAAATATTGTATGGTTCGGCAAGAATGAAAACAAATATTGATGACCAAGCCATGGAATGAGCCAGGCATCCTTCTTCTAACTAGAATCGCTTATTCCTTCTTTACCGCGTATCTGATCGATACATTGACATTAAATAGCGAGTCATCATTCTGACCCTTGTTTCCATCTTCCCAAACTGAGTCACAATTCTTCCATAGCTAATAAAAATCAAGTTGCGCATGATTAAAGCAATATTTTCCCCGTTCCTTCGTTTATTTTTCTTATAAAATAATGAAAAAACACGAGGCAGAAGTGGTGCAGTGGGAAGAGGCGGTGCTTACCCCGCGCGCGGTCCGGAGATCAAATTCTGGATAGTGCGCTGTTTAGGCCAACAAAGCTTACCGGCCAACCGTAGCGGCAATCAGGTACAGAATGTCGGAAGGTTTAAAAAGCACCCGATTGGGCACTGCTTGGCCTCGCGAGATCCTTGGATAGGCAGATCGCATTCAATGGCCTCTACGATTCCGAAAGGCAGTACGCTGCCGGCGATCCAAAGGGATTGATCAAAGCCCAATCTTGGCCTTCTATTCTTAATGTACCTAGTGGGGTTTCTGACTACGGATTATTGGATACTGTCGCTTTCCATAAATTTGTGTACAAGTAGCAACTCGCTGGTGGTGAAATTAAGTGAAAAACATTGTTGATCCACCAGGTATTAATGTGTAGGATTTCTGCGTGACAGCTAGAACTTGGCGATAGAATCACAAGATGCCATACATACTCAGTCTTACACCAAAAGCAGTGTATTTTTCAGTGCTATCGCAGATACAGGGGATTGTTGGTGACAATGCTATTTCAACCGCGCACGTTAAAATCCCTTTTTGTTAGAATGGGGACTTTGTCTCAGACGAAAAGGAGAGACTCCAGGGTATGTGCGCATTTTTGATATTCCGAAGTTCCTGTCTCCTCCAAGGCTTGTCTTTGAAAGCGTCCCCGTATCTTGCGATAGCGCCGTTTTTTTTTGTAGAATTTTTATGGTGTGTCTTTGATGCTTTAATGATGCTTCGAGCAAAAGTCAGCCTATCGCTTTTGGAACGAAATTCGGGGATTCATGAGACTGCTAAATCCACTCCGAAACGAACTTATTACACTAGTGTTTTTTCTGACGCCAGCGGCGAGACTTCAAAGTGATTCAAGCTGCACAGTAGGTCTTGAGGTTGTATTACTAGAGTCCACCTTTATCTGCTGCAAATTGTATCCGGACGAAATGCTTCATTCGAACCCGAGTTATTGAGCAATAAATAGCAGTGAACAAATCGACGAGTGTGGTTGAAATTTTCTGCGGCGGACGAATTTAGAAGCACTTGCGGTGGACGATGGATGGGCCGGATTCGTCGTATTCTTGCTTGGAGATCCACATCTGTTGGAAGGTGGACAGGGAGGCGAGGATGGATCCTCCGATCCATACTGAGTATTTGCGCTCAGGGGGAGCGATGATCTTGATCTTCATTGTGCTGAAAAATGCATAAATCATTTGGAATGGCAAGCTATGGTATAGCATACTTCTGAGAAATATAAAGCAGATTTACCTTGGGGCGAGAGCGGTCATTTCCTTCTGCATACGATCAGCAATACCAGGGTACATGGTGCTACCGCCGGACAGGACAGTGTTGGCGTACAAGTCCTTACGGATATCGATATCGCACTTCATGATTGAGTTGTATGAGTTCTCATGGATACCAGCAGATTCCATACCAATGAAGGAAGGCTGAAAAATTGTTTTGAGTGTGCGGGACAAGGACGAGGAACAGTCGTGCCAGAAGTGTTAGCTGACCTGGAACATGGCCTCGGGGCAACGGAATCGCTCGTTTCCGACAGTGATGACTTGTCCGTCGGGAAGTTCGTAGGACTTCTCTCGAGGAGAGGAAGAGTGCAAAGCGGTTTGAGCCATTTCCTGTCGAGTAAAGGGCGACGTAGCAGAGATTCCTGCGAAGGGAATAGTGTAGAGGCAGTCAGATTTTTTATTAACGCTATGTGTTGGAACGGTTTCTTACCTTGATATCTCTGACAATTTCACGCTTCGGCCGTGGTTGTGAACGAGTAACCACGCTCAGTGAGGATCTTCATCAAGTAGTCAGTAAGATCACGTCCGGCAAGGTCAAGACGGAGAATAGCGTGGGGAAGGGCATAACCCTAAAGGTAACAAATTAACGTCTTCTATCATAAACCCAGCTTGCCACAAGTCTCACCTCATAGATGGGGACAGTTGCTGGGTGACACATTTCACGAAGTTATTACGATCTCCAGAGTCGAGGCACGACTCCAGTGGTACGTCCGGAGGCGTACAGGGAGAGCACAGCCTGGATAGCGACGTACATGGCGGGGGTGTTGAAGGTCTCGAACATGATCTGGGTCATCTTTTCTCTGTTGGCCTTGGGGGTTAAGAGGAGCTTCAGTCAAGAGGACTGGGTGCTCTTCTGGGGCAACACGAAGCTCATTGTAGAAGGTGTGGTGCCAGATCTTCTCCATATCATCCCAGTTGGTGACGATACCGTGCTCAATGGGGTATTTCAGGGTGAGGATACCTAAAAGCAGATAAACTCAGCGACCATTTCCCCTGTTGGATCCAGCTGTCACCAACCTCTCTTGGACTGAGCCTCGTCTCCTACGTACGAGTCCTTCTGTCCCATACCGACCATGACACCCTGATGACGGGGTCGGCCGACGATGGAGGGGAAGACAGCTCGAGGAGCGTCATCTCCGGCGAATCCGGCCTTTGCACATTCCGGATCCATTGTCAACCACAAGAGCAGCAACCTCGTCGTCACACATTCTGGCTAGCTAGAATGTACGGATTCGAACTTTTTGACCGAATATGGCAAAAGAGTGCAGACGGACACTATAAAGATCGACGGGTGGAGTTAGTGGGTACCCCCAGATCAACAATGTCTCTGGAATAGATATCAGGGATGCCGATATTCTAGTTGATGGCCCATCAGGAAGCTATAATAAGTGTAAGGAGCAAGTATAGATTTAATGAATTCCTCTTTGCTGATATGATGATGTTCCCAATACCGGGGTCATGATGCAATACAAGATGAACATCATTGGATTATGGCAATAGGACAGGAGACATAGGCCCACCATTAAATCCCGAGAGGATCAATTTAGCCCAAGGACCCCTAAGATGAATACCACATCAAATTGAACGTATAACAAGGGTATAAACCGTGAGAGTGTGCAAAGTAGCCAATAGTAGTTATCAAGAGCTTTTATAGTGGAATCAAGCAATCGCAAAGAAACAGAGTGCGTGGAGGAATTCCCGGTAGCGTTTAAAAACCGCCGGTCAAGGAGCATGCATTTCGCAGAAGTGCCACTGGGGCGGTAGTGAGATGGAGGATGGTGAGGGCGGTGCCGCTGGCGTGGTTCGTGGAACTCAGCGTATCTTTAGCGCGATTGTTCCTAGGAATCGCAGAGAAAAGCAGGCATTACACGGAGGTATATAAAGTCGTTTCTAGCCGGCAGAAGCGCGAGTCGTTTAGTTCAAGGCTTGCCACTTATCTGTTTCTATCTTACTTTGTTATTTGATAAGGACTTGTTAGCAATTATTTCAATTGTGCATAGGTACCTGAATTAACCTGTATCAACTCTATAGTAATACTCAACCGTCTAACTCTTATCACATCAAAAGGGTAGTGGATAGAATCATTCTTCGCTTGCATTTACGACAGTTGGGGTTTTACTTGAAGTTGGTTTGAGAACTCCTCAGCATTTGAATTTCAATAGTTCTTTCAGTAATTCTTCATTTGAAAACATGCCGCAAGAAATGACTCGTTCCATTTTTATAAACTTAGATTTCCATTTTTTCTAGCTAGCCAGAATGTGTGACGACGAGGTTGCTGCTCTTGTGGTTGACAATGGATCCGGAATGTGCAAAGCCGGATTTGCCGGAGATGACGCTCCTCGAGCTGTCTTCCCCTCCATCGTCGGCCGACCCCGTCATCAGGGTGTCATGGTCGGTATGGGACAGAAGGACTCGTACGTAGGAGACGAGGCTCAGTCCAAGAGAGGTTGGTGAGACTTGGCTCAGCGGAGGAAGAGCGGCCAGTAAATCTGCCTACTTTTAGGTATCCTCACCCTGAAATACCCCATTGAGCACGGTATCGTCACCAACTGGGATGATATGGAGAAGATCTGGCACCACACCTTCTACAATGAGCTTCGTGTTGCCCCAGAAGAGCACCCAGTCCTCTTGACTGAAGCTCCCCTTAACCCCAAGGCCAACAGAGAAAAGATGACCCAGATCATGTTCGAGACC